CTACGAGTGCCTCCTTTGAAGCATCGAGCACTAAGAACTGTGACTTGATGCATTACGCACCTATATAGATAAACAATAATCTAAAAGACAAATAAGTACTACAACATAATTACAAACACAAAATTAAGAAGTTCCCCAGCAACAGAGCCGTAGAACCTATTGTACATTGTAGAGTTGTTCAAATGATAATTAACAATTTCATATCACTTGGCTAACAGTTGCAAAATTGGAGTATGATGATTGAACCGCATATATACGAGTATCTAATGCTGTCTGAATCCTCACTGATCCATAAAAAAAGATTCATTGAATCATTCGTAACTACGCAGTTGAGCTAAACTGTAAACTTCAAGCACTAAATGAGAGTTAATCTAAAACTATCAACCTTAACACAGGTTACTCCATTAAACTAAAATAAAATACAAATAGCTCTAAAAGGCAAACTGAAATTTCATTCTACACAGAAATCAAATATCTTGAAACGGGACTAGAAAGCAAGTAAAGTTGCTTGGCTGCTCATTGATCAGCAAAAGGACCAAAACAAAATATTCAATAGGGGCTCTGTTTTAGAACACAAGAGCAAGATACCCAGTGAGCCAAACATTACTTGGGAAATTGGTCTGCCAATATATGACACTCATTTCAAAATCCCAAGACTTTTATCTATCAATAAAATCACATTTTACAAACAAAAAACAAAAGAAGATTTTTATTGACACAAAAAAAAAATTTCTATAGAGACAAATCCATTGGTAATCTTCAAACTGAGAGCTCGAACTGATCATAAAAAAAAAATAGAAAAGAAGAAGAACTACGTTCAATTTATCCACAAAACCTTGATTCTAAAAACAATTATAGTTGGTAATAAAAAATGGATAGCAATTTAAATAAATAGAATTACAGGAAAACAACAAAGACCCAATTGAAAATTCAAGCAAAGAAGTTGAAAGCCAATACCTTCTCTTTTACTTTGAACTTTTGAGTTGCATTAGCAGTAGAGAAAAGAAAAAAGCGCTCTCTTTCTTTCTCCATCTTTCTGAGTCACAGAGAAAGGTTGGGAGCGAGTGAGTTGAGAACTGGCATGTATGGGCAGGCCCTTGAAGCCATTGGCCCATTTGAAATTCTTGGACCTGATTTCTTCCATGGGCTTGGTTCCAACTGATTTCTTATAAACTAATACTAGTTAACTACTATTATTATTTAACATAATTTGTAATTTAACAATTCTAAATTGCCATAATACTTTAAAAAGTTCCTAAACTATTTAAAAAAATTCATATAAACTCTCATTCTTTTATTATTTTCAATTTAAGTCTATATATTTTTACTTGGATTAAATAAACCTTTATAATTAATAGTTAATTAATTACTATTAATTAAAATATCACTTGTTATTTTATACCAACGTGATATTGATGTGACGATTGAAAAATGTCACATGATCATATCATTATGACAAATCAGCATACCATATCATCATTCACTTTGACAAGTCAATATACCACATTAACATCGCATGACCTAAAAAATAATAGGTGATATTTATACTAATAACAATTAGTCACTTGTTAGTAGTAAGGTTTATTTATCTCAAAGCAAAAGTATTATAATTTGATTGAATATAAAAGTTTATTTAAATATTTTTGAATAGTTTAAGAGCTTTTGTAAATATTATGCTTTTTAAATTTAAAAAATATGGAAAGTTTGAAAGTCCCCTTGTAAGTTTGACAAACCTATATAAATCCAATAACTGGTAGTTGAAAAGAGAAATTGAAGACTTAATTAGATCAATCACGAATTCAAAGGTTTTAACAATCTAAAACGAATTAGAAAGATACTTGATTCGGTTTGGTTGGTTTACAACTCATAAAGGCATCCGATTTTATAATAATTGCTTCTAATATATATATTTTGACAGGCGTTAATTTGTTGGATTTGCAGAGAATAGAGAACGTAAAGAAAATGTGGAGTTGAATAATATAAATATTTTGAACCCAAAATTGAATAATATATGTGGTATAATCAAACATTTGAAAAATAGAACATAACTGAAACAATTGAATCAACCAATATAATGAGCAAAGTAAGGAACTTCAAAACGTAGTTTGAATTTAGAAATTTAAAAGAAATAATTGTTACATATTTGACATATATAATAATAGATAGTAAAATAAGTATATAAATTGACGTGCATTTTCCGCTGTCATTGCTCATAATTTAGCTTATAATGATCGTGATATAAAGTGAGTACAGCGTTTTTCAATCCATGTGTGGTCCTAACGACCAAATTTACCAGAATATTTGCATCCGAAGCACAAAGCTGGAGGAAATTCATACAGCAAGCACCTGGTAATTCAATACTCATTCAATCTCGCAATTAATGGTTCTTGACTCTTGTTTTGTTAGGCAATTGGTTACAATCATTGCCTTGATTTGTTGCTTTGTATGGAATGCAATGCAGTGAAGATATAATTGATTAATCATGTCTTTGATCTCATTAAAAAAATTCATCATAATTGAAGTTAGTATTATAACCAATACTATATTTTGAGAAAGTAAACTTTGCCTGCATTTCATTGCAACTCAAATGCAGTGGTGAAAAAGCTTAATTTCTATTTTTCTGGTATCGTTAAAAATCTAGATGGATCTCAATCTTATGGTAACTTTAACTCAGTATGTATGCAGTATAACTTAACTGATCTCATCGTAACTATATATGTTTCCATGACTCTTTTAGTGTTACAGTATATATGCAGTTAAAAGGACCTATGCTTAATTATAAATCAAAGCCAGGTAAGGTTACCTACTCTCTTGGGCCACAACAAAGAGAGAAGACTACTGTAAAAGCTAGAGTTGAAGGAGACTGAAAGGAAAGACAATGTGTCCAATTCACATATATATGTTACTTAACATTTTGTCTGATTTCTAGAGATAGAAATGTTGCTTCTTGGACATTTGAAAGTCGTATGTTATAGAAGCGGAGGGACCTGAAGGCGTTGGCACCTTGAGATGCATTATGTCTGCAATCTCTATTGATTGTAAAATGGTTCAGCAAGAATAGAATTAGGTATCCAGAGGAGACATACGTGTTCGCCTTCTTCTCGGACCTGGTAGGAGTGTCAATATCCTGCAGCTGAAATGGACTGTTTTTGTTTTCACAAGTTGGAAACATGTGATGGCTTGGTGAAGCTGATTAACGTGAAAGTTGGCTAATTGCAAGGCTTAACTTTCCATGTATTTCACGACAAAGCTGTCTTACATTAACTAGTCCACTGCTATTTCATTTTTCTTGTTTACTTTACTTGGCTTGTAATTAGAGAAAATACAGCAATCCTCGAATTATAACTGTAATAATTAATTAGAAAAATGGGAGTTGAGTGGGGGGCTTTTTCCAGTGTTCAAAAGAAGTGGAGAGTTGACTAGGCAGTGGAAACAGAAAGAGAAAGGCAGAAGCAGACAAAATTGGTGGACTTGGACCTTGGAATCGTTGACATTTATTCAAACCAACAAGTTGATGAATCCATTGACCAGCCGACATGTAGGGCCATGTATTCAAACTATTTGTAAATAATTATTAGACCAGCAGGCTCAGGTCATTCCATTGCCAATCAAAGCCAACCAGAGAAAACAAAAAAAAAAAAAAAAAAACAAAGGAAGAGGAAGGGTCTTATAGTATCCAATTTTCTATATCTTTTTCTTTATTGTACCAACTACACTTTCAAAACAATTAGCGTTAATACAAGTTGATGTAGGTATGTCTGGCCATAATATTAAGCTACCAAAAGGCTTTGAATATATAAAGGCAATACTAATTACTTAACTATTTTAGTAATCAATCAAAGCTTGGGGCGTAGCCGAGATTTCAATGTAAAGAAGGTAAATTGGTATCATAACATAGTCATGAATCTTTGGAGTAA